CCCCCGTGTTGGCTGCAGAACACAGGATGGACAGGTGAGACAGACACTCACAGACACCCCCCGTGTTGGCTGCAGAACACAGGATGGACAGGTGAGACAGACACTCACAGACACCCCCCGTGTTGGCTGCAGAACACAGGATGGACAGGTGAGACAGACACGGAGGAGCCGCACAGCCCAGGGCAGTGCCACCCTCCAGCCCAGCTTTGGGGAAGCACATCCCAACCCTGCCAACAGGGAGAGGTGTAGCACAGCCCAAAGCAAGGTGGGACTTCCTTCCCCTCCCACAGAGAGGGAGTGGAGTCCTGATACTTTGTGTTCCTCTCCCAAGGAAAAGTCTGGGCATAACTCCAGCCTCCCCACTTGCCATCTCCGGTACCAGCAAAGCTGCGACAGAAGCACTGACAGCAGCCCATGCAGTTTGCTCCTGTGCTTGGAGGAAGGTTCCCCACACTCCTCATACCAGGACACCCCACCACAGCAGGTCTTGGGAACACCAGCCGTGTGAGCAATGGGCTGAGCCACAGCCCCCAGGCCCCAGCACACCACTGGCAGCCACTTGCCAGGAAACCACAGCAAGAGCACCAGTACACATCCAGCTTCTCCTGAGCCACAGCAGCCCCCCCTCTCCAGCCAGGCACTGCTCCAGCAGGTTCAGCAGGTTCAGCAGACATCTGCTGCCTGGCCCAGCACTCTGTGCAGCTCATCTGCACCTTGGGGATGGACAGGGGAGCGGAGACCACCGAGTCTCCATCATCAGGAGCCGTTACCCTGACCACAGGAGACTTCAGGACACAAATTCCCTCTAGACTCTGTGCCATACATCCACTGAACTGAGTGGGTGGGTACAAGCTCCCCAAGACATTCTATCGGTACTCACCCGGGTGGGGTTGGCTCTGGCTGTGCTCCTGAGGAAGGATCACCTCATAGTCTTCTCCTCCATCTTCCCCAAGGTCATAGATAGCATCTGGCTTTCCCAGTGGGGCTGGCAGCTCCTCATAGTCAGCACCTCCACTGGTACTGTCACAGTAGTCAGAGGGCTCTGGCAGCTCCTCATAGTCTCCACCAACATCCAAACTTTCACTGTAGATGGGCTGATCCTGGCTGGGGACCTTGCACAGCTCTGCACCCAAATCTGCTGGCCTTGGTGGCAAAGTGGGTGGTGCTTCCTCATCCTCCCTTTTGGCCTCCTGCCACGAGGTGAGAAGGTGACAAGAAAGTCACCTGCGAAGCACCCAGCACTCTCCCAACTCCCAGCACCTGGCATAAGGCAGCCCCTTCCTGGAGCACCATCCCCTGCACACCAGGGAAACAGCTCAGCCCCTCGGGCCGTGCTGAACTGGCACCTGGCATTGCTCTGGAGATCCTCAGGGCACATGTGTTTGAACCTCTGTTCATACTTCTCTCCAGCCCACGGTGCCACCACTGCACCTCCCCACTCCCAGAGCCTGTCCCAAGGGGTGCTGTGCAGTCCCATCCCCATCCCAACACTCCCCCTCGTCCTTCCAAAGCCTCTCACACACTGGGCACAGCCCCTCTCAGGTGCAATCCCCTCTGCCTGCTCCCCTTCCCGGCTCTCCCAGACTGCCTTGGCACCTGCTCTCCTGGCGACACGGGTCGGTCTCCATGGGCATTCCTGGGCACCTGTGCTGGCACAGCAGCAGGGGCTGCCCCAGTGTGCCCCTTCCCTCTCGGCGGGATTTCCTGCTGGAGAAGAGCCATCAGATCCCTCAGTCCCTCTGAATGAGTACAGAGCAATGGCTCTTCACATTCCCAGTAGAGCAACTCAGAACATTTTCCTCCACCTAGAATCTGTTCCAGCTCCCACAAACCTGCCCTGGGCCTGGGCACTGGCAGGCTGGTGACAAGGGTGGGGCACCCCTGAAGAGGAACATGTTGGGGGGGCTTCACTGTGAATCCCACTCTGCCCTCTGAGTGCAGGAACAGCAGCAGGTGGGAAGGCAGGTAAGCATCGGGGCTGGGTGCCATCCCCAGTTTGCCAGGGTGCATCCCACATGCAGACTGCTGGGATGGCAGTGCTGGGGGGGGTGACTGCACTCTTTGACAAGCACCAGAGGCAAAAGGAGCTGAGGCCAAAGCACTGGGGCCACGGCTGGGTGCAGGTACACCCTGATCTCTGTGCTGAAAAGGAAAGTCCGGTGACAACTGTGAAGCTCAGTGGCCATTCGTGGCAGATGCAGGGAGGCAGTTTAGGCAAAAGGTTACTCTAAAGAGATCATCTGGAAGGACATGGAGCTGCATGGCCATGAGGAAAAGTCTCCTCCACGAGCCTCAGAGGACACAGCAGGACAGCCACGGCTCACCTGTCCCCGAGGTGCCGGGCACTGCCGGGGCTGTCGCCGCAGCCGCTCCTCCTCCGCCTGCCTCCTGCTCTCCTCCTCCGCCGACCTGGCCATGTGTTCAAACTGCCACCGCAGGCTGCTGGTGCTGCTGGAAGCTCCTGCAAGGAGACAGCCGACTGAGCCAGCCCCCAGCTCCCTCCCACCACCCCAAGCATCCAGGAGAAACCCAGACCTCCACCTCTTCAGAGAGACTTGCAGTTCAGCCACCTTTGTCCTGCCCCCAGCACAGGCTGAACCCCCATCCCATCTACCAGCATGCTGACACAGAGGGACCATGAGGCCCACAGCTTCCCAGGTCCAGGGCTGGGACCCATATGTCTCACCTGCCTCCAGGGGTCTTGGTTTCTCGTAGGAGGAGGTGGGAGCTGCCATCTCATCAAAGCCAGCAGCACTCTGCAAGAGGAAGTGAAAGAATTGTCCAGCTGCTTGGGCAAGGCCAGTGCTGGGTTTGGCTACTGGTGATGGCAAGCATTGTTCCTAGGTGTGTCTGTCCTCACCTGTACACTTACCCTGACCCAGGGGAGGCTGCTGGCTGCAGTTCCCTCTCCTGACACCCCCCTTCCTCTCTGCATCCTGCTTCCCAAACGACCCACAGCCCTGACTTTTACCAAGTGCTCATCTGATTTCACACGTGATTTTCTGCCATGTACAGGATGCACCTTTTTTTGTCAATGCCCCTCTGCTTGCTGTTGTTCAATTCACAGGTAGTGCTAATGTCTCCTGAGGGCAGGACACCGTTCCCTCTCCGCTGCTGGCCCCGCCCAGACATGCAGCATGGACAGGAACATGTGTTTAGATCCTCCCCAGCTTCCTCCAGCTCCTGAGTTCGGTGATGTTGGTGCTGTACCAGGCACAACACTGTGCCCCTGCACTGTGCCCCACAACAGGGAATGGAGGGTTCAGGGAAGGCCCCCTCACTGCCTCCTCCAAATGCCCCAAAGCCACAGGATTCCCACCTCTTAGTTTAGCCACATCCGTGAGGTTCATCTCCAACTGGCAGGACCAAGACTGCAGGGCAGCCTGACACACACAGAATTAACTCCAGTGCTTGAATCTGAGTTGTGACTGTAGATGAGGCTTTGTGGGGTGTCAGCCCAAACAGAAAACCTGAACCAGCCAACTGGGTGACCTTTTCTCATGCACAGCAGATTGAGCTGTGCTAATGCCATCCCTGCCGGGGTTTGTCAAAGTGTGCAGGCAGATTTAGCTACCTGAACAGACCACAAGGCACTCCTTAATAGGAGAGAAAAACCTGCAGGAGTTAAGAAACAGCAGAGGAGTTACAGACAGTGCCATGAGGAATTCCCTGCATTACAGTCTCCCCCGGCTGCATCCCTCTGCATCCTCTGGTATTTTACACTGAGCCAGTTCCCTCTTGCCACCTCTGTGCCCTGAGCACTCTGAGTCTCACCTCCACCTGGGAAATCTCTTCTCTTGCAGCAGGGCAAGGAGCTGTGATTAGTAGGAAGCAACTGAAGGCTGCAGCAGTCTTACCTTATCCACTCTATCCTTCTGGACCCCATACCGGCCTCCAAACCCCTTGGCATAGTCTGTATGGGAAAAAAAAGGAGGCTATTTTACAATATTTTATATTCTGTGTGCACATCTGGCTTCAGTATGCTGTGACCAGTGAAATGAGATGAGTTAGCTTTGTCTGCATCTTATCACATATGGAAGTAACTAGAGATAACACATGCAAAGTCCTCTGGACAAATGGCTTTTAGGACTAATTATCCCTCCTTTCAGCCAAGGGCACAGGAATGCAGGGCTGTAGCTGAGTGGAGTGTGGCCTTGTTCACTGAAGTCAACTGTGCAGTAGCCCCCAGATTCCTGGGATCTGTTCTCCCTCATTCCTCTGTGCTTGCCTTTGCAATGAATTTACGGTCAGGAACGTCCCTCACAGAGACAGCAGAGCAGAGTTTGAGCAGGCTGACTGAGGGACTCTCATCCCATGTCCCCCACTGGTCCAAGCAGCCATCTACCCTGGCAGAGTTTGCCCTTGTGCTTTGGGGCTCACCACACCCCAGCTGCTCCAGAACACGCTGGACACATTCCATTTTCAGCAGCTGGATCTCTGACTATGAACCACAGGCTCCGGGTCTGTGTGTGCTCCAAGGAAACTGCCACCACCTCTGGCAGCGTTGCCTGACCTGTTTGGGATGCGTGGGGTTGCACTTCCTCCTGATGATCCCAGCCAAGGGCATTCTTGTCCTGACGATCCCTCTGGACCCCAAACTTCCCACCAAAGCCCACAGAATAGTCTTCAGCCACAGGGATCCAGATCACAGCATGGAAGAGAACAGACAAGGGAGGGAAGGAGACAAGTGGCAGCAGTGTGAGCTCAGGCTGTTCTCACAGGTTTTCCTTGCCCAGGACTTAGAGAAAGACATGGAGCAAGGCCAGATTTCCCCACTGGTGGCTGCAGCAACAGCCTTCCCTCCTCCCTGGGACTTGCCTTCCCTCCTCCCTCCACCTGCTATTAGCACCTGCCTGGGCTTCCTCAGCACCCTTCCTTTGGTGATGTGCTTCCCAGGAGATCCCTGTGCCCACAGAACTCTGCTGAACTCTTTCCAGCAGCCATGCCATGGCTTTCCTCACCTGACCTGTTCCCTTGCTGCAAGCTCCCCATAGCTATTCCACCATTCACGCAGCAGATTGAAGAAGTGCTGCACAGTGCCCCACAGTCCCAGTGGGCACAGCCCCAGCTCCAGCCCTGGCACTGCCTGTTCCCTCAGCTGCCCCAGCTCCCCTGGCTGCCCCAGCTCCCCCAGCTCCCCTGGCTGCCCCAGCTCACCTTTCTGAGAGTCGTGCTTCTCTGCCTGGCTCTTGTAGTCAAATCCCACAGCCGCCTTGTCCACCTTGTCCCTCTCCACTCCGTAACGGCCACCAAAGCCCTTGGAGTAATCTGAGGTGGTGCATGGAGTGAAACCCTGCCCCCAGCACGGGGCTGGTGAGGAGAGGACAGGAAGCAGCACTGGGAAGGAGCAGGGGAGAGGAAGGAGAGCAGTGGGGATGATGGAAAACCCCCTAAAAAGCAAGGGGTTGAAGGGGACAGAGTGGATGGCAGGGAGCATCATGGATGAGAGCCCATGGGAATGGGGCACAGGGCAATGGCAGGCACAGCCAGCTGGGAGGGAAGGAAGAAAATGTCAAGGACAGCGGGGAGGCAGTGGGAGCACAGTCACCCACGAAGGCAAAGCCAAGCAGGATTTGGGCACTGATAGCCAGGGTATCACCACTCACCCAACTCCAGAGCCAGGATTTCAGTCTGTGGTCTGCCAGCCTCGGGAAAGGGCTGTGAGTAAGGACCCTGAGCCTTGGGAGTACAGGAATGGCAAAGGAGCTCATGTTTGCTATAGTGGAACCTCAGCTTCTACAAACACCTGACCCTGGAGCTGCAGCAAAGGCTGAACCCCCATTTCTGCAGACACACTCCTGCTCTCCCCACTTGGCCACCGTGTGACAGCTGCCTTGTGTCTCTCTGTTTTCCAGCTCCAAACTAGTGATCCGTTAACAACTTCAGCCATGTTCAGCTGTTCCCTAAGGATCACCTGGTTAATACTGGCTCATTCCTGAGACATTCCAGCCTCCATCCTGGCTGCTGGCTGTACACTCCTCCTTTCAGACACCTGCCAGCTCGATCTCCAAATCCTGCCCTTAAGGGGTAAATCACAGTCACCTCTCCCTGTTCCCTGATGCTTTTCTACAGGTCTGCATTTCACAAGACTAACTTCAGCTATACCAATCCATGGAGACTGTTGTAGAGAAAGCTGCATCAGGACATTTTTTGTTCCAGAATGGATCTCTGTTTCACAGAAGCTCAGTCATCTAACCTGTAAGTATGAACAATTCTTAAACTTACCTTGACTAAACTATTATCTATCTATTAGGCTGTTACGAAATGGATCTTTAATGGAGCTGTTTTCAGCAAACGCAGATTTTGTGACTGTTATCTTGCTGCTGAAGCTTCTAGTATAGACACATTTTTATGAAAAGCAACCCAAACACTTACCCTACTTCTAACAGTTCCATTTTGTCCTTAGCAACTTCTGTAGTTTCACACAGCCTGATGAATTTCTATGTCTACAAGAATATGTTAATGCAGCATAACTGCATGGAATTAATTATTTTAAGATCAACCAAGAATGCCTCAAACTATGTTCCTTCTTTTATAGATTCCTCTTAAATGAATCCCATTCAGTTATTTCCTTGGTAATGCAGTATTCCTCACATTTACCTGAAACAGCAACAGACCTTGCCCTTTCATCTTCTTTTGGGTGCAGAACACTTAAAATATCTTTAGTTTCACTTCTTGCACTATTTGTTGAATCTGCAGAATTCTGCAGCAGTTTGAGTGCCCTACAGGCTTCTGTTTCCATATCCATTGCTGTGCCTTTTCCTACAAGTTGTTTCTCCAGCAATCACTCCATGTCCTGAACGGCTCTTCTGGAGCCGTTCTCAGAAGGGCTTTGAGAGGACAGGGAGCACGAGCCATCCACTGGAGGGGGGTGGGAGTGTCTCCTCTACTCAGCCAGGACGTGGCTTCCACCAAAGCAAAGCACAGAGACAAGTGGGAGGTACACCAGAAGGATGGTGACAGGACAGCATGGAATGGGGCCATGAGGGTGACAGACTGGGAACAGGAATCTGAAACAAGTGACAGGAGGGGGATAATGAAGGAGATTGTGCCACAGCCAACAGCACGGGATAGTGGGAGCAAAAGAGCAGCTGGGCAAAGTGTCAAGGGGTCACACATGCCCATGGACTTGCCTGTCTGGGACGAGTGTTTCTCCACCTCACCCTTGTATTCAAAGCCCACTGCTGACTGGAACAAGAAGGGGAGGGCTGTCAGTCAGCCTGAGGGCCCAGCCAGGTTTCAGCCACCCTCCTCTGGGGCCAGGCTGGAAGCCTGCTCTCTGCCTTGTGCCACAGAATGCTGGGCAAACAGCACAGCCCCAGGATGGACACCACAGCCCCAGGATGGACAGCACAGCCACTGGACAAACAGCACAGCCCCTGGACAAACAGCACAGCCCCAGGATGGACAGCACAGCCCCAGGATGGACAGCACAGCCCCTGGATGGGCAGCACAGCCCCTGGATGGGCAGCACAGCCCCTGGATGAACAGCACAGCCCCTGGACAAACAGCACAGCCCCTGGACAAACAGCACAGCCCCTGGACAAACAGCACAGCCCCTGGACAAACAGCACAACCCCAGGATGGACAGCACAGCCCCAGGATGGACAGCACAGCCCCTGGACAAACAGCACAGCCCCTGGACAAACAGCACAGCCCCTGGACAAACAGCACAGCCCCAGGACGAACAGCACAGCCCTTGGACAAACAGCACAGCCCCTGGACAAACAGCACAGCCCCTGGACAAACAGCACAGCCCTTGGACAAACAGCACAGCCCTTGGACAAACAGCACAGCCCT